CTGGCCACAAAAACACTAGTGTAGCACCGCAGCAAGGCCGGGCGGGCCTCCAGCCGCTGATCATCGTCGGAGTTGGCCGCGGATCCTTTTCTGCCGCCCGCTCGCTCCAGTGCTCTCCGTCCTCCTTCAACTCCTCAGGCGTGTCCGTGGCTTCCCCTGGTCGTGATGGTGCTGCTGGACCGCCCCCACTTCACCGGAAACCCCAACTCTGATGAACTCCGCTGCCTGCCGTCTCTGGAGAAGACCACCGCGACGCCCTCCGTCCACCTCTGCCCATTTTTCTGGTACGTGCGTGTTCGTCTCGACGAGCCGCGTCCATCCGTCCTCTCACCGGCGGCCGATGTGGCCTCCTCGCCGGAGAATCAGCACCGACCGAGCCGCCGTCTCTGTTTCTCTTCCTCTCTCTTATAAACCTGCCAGAGGGGCCCCACCTATCAGCCTCTCTTCTCTCTCCCGAATCGGTATAAGTGAAGACGTATTCTGAGTATACGCCTTCAATGTGGCCCTCTCTGGGTTTTTTGTTTTTAGTTTTAATTGAAATATTTTAGCTGAACTTTGACCAGCTCTAAATCCTAAACCATAAGTCCAAATGAGATGATTCTTTTTGCATTAGTTTAGTCTTGAGCTCCTCTATCAGCATGTAAATTTTGAGAATTTTTCTTGCTATTTAGACTTTCTGGTGAATTAAATTTCTTTTGTGACATTTTATTTATGGCATTTTAATTATTTTCAGAAGGATCTTCCTATCTTGAGGAGGACCAGGAGCATTGTGACCCTCCTTTGAACTAAGGCAAGCCACCACAAACATTTGCAAGGGTGACATTGCAATGACTATGATTTTACTTGAATTTAACTTCATACAATGCATATAGTTATTTAAATAAATTCACTTATGTTAGTTTCACATTCATGCTATGCTTGTTATGTTTACAAAAGTATGTTGGTTGTTTGGTCAGGGTTATGCAGTAGAGTTAGAGTTGTCATGAGCATCTTTATGTTAGTATCATCCTTTTGCTGAAATGGTTCATATGCATATCATGGCATTTTCGTGGCATACTATGGCTCGAGTAGTTTTCATTTCAAGTTAAACATGATTATAATACAACTGAACATGCTATTGATTGAGTCATGGTGCCACTGAATCGAGCTTCCCAGTGCAACCACATTTGCCTTTATGGGAAGGCCCTTATTCGGTGTGTTGTCATGCCTCTCGCCGGTGCCTCCAACAAGGGAAGGTTATGCGCTTGCGCTACCCTGGACCGGTAGGCAGGCATAGCCTTGTGTGCCCGTAGTTGTTTTGGTACCATTGTCCCTCTTTGGGAACGTTTTTGTTTTTCCACGACGGTGGTCGTTGGATGTCCGGAGTGGCATCGGGGCCACCCATGACTAAGCACAAAGGGGAGTTGGTCGGAGTGGCCGAGAGAGTGTCACACAATAGATCGGTTTTGTCAGAATGTCGTTGGTCCACCTGAATGGCAGCACGAGGCCTTGGGTTCCGTGGTGTGGGTACATTGTACTAACCTCTGCAGAGTGTGTTTAATCTATCGATAGCCGCGTCCTCGGTTATGGACACAATTCGTAGTAGGTCACACCATGTGTTAACAGAAATAATTAACTTGCACACTAATGTTATACTTATGCCACTTGATATGATGGATGAGATGTCGGAATCATCGAGTTGGTTTCATTTGTGATCCATTGGTGATCACCGTGGTAAGATGATGGTCGGGGTTACGAGGTAACCAAGATGGTAACTGGGTCCGAGGGGCCCTAGTTGCAAGCACCTACACTTCGTGAGTAGCATGCCATGTTCTTGCATATAACTTGCTTAAATATCATGTTGTTGTTTGTCATTGCTGTTTTATTTCTTGTGAGCTTGCGAGTACATTCAAAGTACTCACCTGGCGTGCCATGTCAGTTTCAGGAGAAGCCGTACCATAAGTCGGAGTTGCGTCGTGCATCGCAGTCTAGACCGTGTTCCAGCAGTGTCCCTGTGAGATGGAGTCCTTCTACGCCGTGGTTCCGCTGCCGAGTAGTTGTCGTCGAGGCCCCTATATGTCTACTAAATATTGTACATATGTGCAGTAGCACCGTGTGTGCCGCTTGACCTCACTAACTCATGTATCGCCGAACCTATGTTCCCGCAAGAGATCAATAAAGCGGTTGCTTTTCTGTTCCAAGTTGTTGTGTGTTGTCAAAAGACATGATCTCTGGGCTGGCAATGCAAGGTAAACAGCTTGCTCTGAGCCGGGGTGCCACACATGATTTTCTAGAATACCCTATTTGCTTCACTTAAATCTTTTGAGCTAGGTAGTTGCTCTAGTACTTCACTTATATCTTTTTGAGCACGGCAGTGGTTATATTTTGAAGAAATAAGCTCTCCTGCTTCACTTATATTATTTTGAGAGTTAGTAAATTTTTAAGAAATATCCTCTCATGCTTCACTTATATTATTTTGAGAGATGGAAATTTTGAAGAAATAATTATGCTCTCGTGCCTCACTTATATCATTTTGAGAGTTAAAGAATAGTAATGGTAATTTGCACAAGATATGAATTTGGTCCGAAAGTGATAGGTATCCAAGGGGGATATAATCAAAACTTTCATGAAGATCATTGGAAATTATGAACTTGATTCCTTGCAATAGTTTTGTGGTATGGAGATAGTGATATGTTCATCATGTTGATGAGTAATCATGCTTTAGTAAGAATATTGGTGTTAAGGTTTGTGATTCCCTATGCATGCACACAAAGTCAATAGTTATGCAACAAAATTATATCCTACTTGTCGTGCATTATTCAGTGTTAATTATGTTCAATGCTCGTTTATGACTATTTTCGTTTTTTGGTTGGTTGCCTCTCAATATTTGGTAGCCTTCCCTTATACTAAGTGGGAATATTGCTTGTGCATCCAATTCCTTAAACCCAAAGTTGTGCCAAATCAGTCCACTATACCTACCTATACGTGGTATTTCCATGCCGTTGCAAGTAAATTTGTATGTGCCAACTCTAATTTTCATAGTGAATTTCCTTTTTTGTGTGTCCATACCTCTCATGAAGCGGCAGGGGGTGGCCAATATTTTCCATGTTAGGTATTTTATTCTCATGATGAGTGTTTATTCACTTGTCATTACACGAGAGTGTGGCAGGTAATAGGGATGCCCAGTCCTGAAATGAAAAAATATTATTATAATAAATTCCTTGGAAAGTGCTGGTATGGAAGGCACCCGTGGATCAGCTAGCCATGGATTGTGAAAGAATGGTGGAAAGAAAATAAACTTTATTTTCTGTTTGGGAACCGCCTATAATTTGTCTAGTATGGAAGATGTTGGGAATTCTCGGTCATTTTCGTTGATAGGGAAAACGTGCCTCTCAAAACAGTTTTATCTCTCAATTTAACATATGAGCTCTGGCACCTCTACAAATCTCCGCTTCCCTCTGCGAAGGGCCTACATTTATTTTTATGCAATTTTAATTTTATTGAGTCTCCATCTTCTCTTATAAATCACCAACTAGGGAACACTATTGTCATACACAAGTATTAGATGTAGTTAATATTTGAGTGTTTCATGAATTGATCAATGATTGAGCATAATGTCTAGGGATACTTTCTTTAGCATTGATATCTTGAAAGACATGATCGCTTGTTGATATGCTTGAGTATTCATGTCTTCATGTCAAATTATGGACTATTGCTTTGAATCATTCAACTCTAAATGTCCATACTACAAAAAAAGAATACATGATGAATATGTTAGGCAACATTCCACACCAAAAATTATGTGTTTATCATTTACCTATTCGAGGACGAGTATGAATTAAGCTTGGGGATGCTTGATACGTTCCAGCATATATATAATTTTTTATTGTCCCATGTTATTACATTATCCATCTTGGATATTTTATATATATTTACAAGCAAATTTATATCAATTTTTGGGTCTAACCTATTAACTTAGTGCCCAGGGCCAGTTGCTGTTTTCAGCTTGTTTTTTTTTACTTTGTAGAATATCAATATCAAACAAAGTCCAAATGCCACGAAGCTTTTTAAAGATTTTTTTTCAGGTGATAAGAGACCCTGGAAGCTTATGGAGGCCACGAGAAGTTGAAAGTGGGGCCCACTATGCACCAGGGCGCGCCAGGGGCCTCTGGCGCGCCCTGGTAGGTAGCGGGGCCCACGGGCACCGTCCTGACCTACCTCCGCCTGTATAAATACTCTAAAATCTCCAAAACCCTAGGGGTATGACAAACCGGTTGGTGCTCTCATGAGCAAGACAGGGCAGCGGAGGAAGACTGAGTTAGATGGAGGCCAACCGATGTTTCATCGTTCTCAAAGCAGGTCAAATTATAGTTTTCTTGTTACCAATTATAGAATAATATATTTTGATAGACTGGAAAATCGTCATTGGTGTTGATTATAAAAAGTGTAATCCTTAGAATTAGTGCAGAGCATCCCTTATCAATCTTTTTTTCTTTTTTACAATGGCAGGTGTTCTGTTTATTTAGCTTAATATTAATCTTGGTTTATGACAGGGGAAATGTATGGGCGGCAGTCATTTTGTACTGCTGACCCTGATGTCATCCCTAAAATGCGTTTGGTGTGCTCTCTTTTGTGGCTGGCCAGTTCAGTCCAGATGGGAAGATGACGAAGACATAAAGGTCCTGATTTATTTATTTTCAAGAATCACAATATACACAATGCTCATATTTGATAGGTTAATTCACATAAACAACACCCGCTCGAGACGGGTATCATGGAAACTTGAAAATTCATCACTCAAGCTACATATAGATTACATGGTAAATTGAGCCCAGCTGGGAGGGAAACTGAGGTGGACAAAGTGAAATATACACATCACTGCAGCTTGCTACTTTACTCTGATTTCTTTTCCTTTCCCCTCCAAGGGGTCAGGCATGCTAGCAACCGCAACATACACCAGGCTGGCCGGTGCAACTTGTTACTCTCTACTGAATAGTACGCTTATATGGGCTGGAAGCCCTTCAGCCGTTGATGTGGCTAACCATCCACAGTGGAAGCCCCGTCCGGGGTGGGGCCTGCGGCTGCACTGCCGCATCCTCTGCCCTCTCTCCTGATGCCGCTGGATGAATGCTGCACAACCAAAGTGGACACAAGTATATTAGTATTTTGTTACTTAAATGTGGCCCGACAGGACTGCATATTGAGACCAAAAGTGGGCTGCAAGGAACAACCCGACCAATTCAAAAGATGGTTCCTTGAACTCTGAATAGGAATGGACTTGTGATGTACATCATCACCTGGTAGTTGCGGCAGGGGGAGCATCCCTCATCATGAAGGAAGAAGAAGAAGAGCTTGTTTGAGGCTGAGTCTGATCTTGTTGCGCCGCCTGGGCCTTCTGCTTCTCGACGAGCTGTGGGGAAGGGACAGGGATCTGTGTCAATAAAATTTGCTATAGGAAACATTTTAGACCGGTTGGACCATAAGGTGACAACGGGCTTACTTCCTTCTGGAGAACTTTATTCTCCTCCTGCAGTGACCTCTCCTGCAGCAAGAACGATGTAATGAGGTTTCGTGCAAGTAGGCCAATTACTTGCATACATGTTATAATGTCACAAAACTTGAAACAAGTAAGCTAAGGTTTCCTGACAAGTTGACCAGTTCGAATACTGGTTCAGGTATGCAAGGTTGACAGCCTACCTTCTTCTGAAGCTCAGAAATGGATTCGTGCATAAGTTGGTTCTGCAAGTACAAAAAAAGAAAAAGGAAATAGTCATTTTTTAACTGTGAAGAGCATATGACTAAAATGCATATACATATTGTGAATATCTCAGTCTAGAATCTGACTTCAGATATACTTTGCTGAACTTCTCTGCAAGTGTTTTTCTTGTTTTATTTTTTAAATTGTGTTGCTGTACAAATCATTTAAATCAGTACCTTCCTGGATCTGATATGTTTCAGTGAGCTTTCCAGCTGCTGCTCCAGTTGCTGCAACTCCTTGAGATTCAAAGATTCAAGATCCTCTCCCATCAGATGCCTGCAGGTGCAGGATGTAGAAATTCAGTCCCATTTATCTTCACAGAGTGTATATAATATACTGGCAATCAACCAAAATCGTTACAAATTACTTTTGACATTTCTGTATTGTCTCAACCTTCGCCTTCAGTTTCCTATATTCGTGACACCAGTTTCCCTGCACAAGCAAATAACAATTGCATTACTAACTTTGAGTGGAACAGGAAGGAACCATGACGGAAATGCTACAAATAGGCTGAGTTAGTTCAGAAATGAACAAAGAGACTTTAACAACATTGACACCAGGGGGCATAAATCAGGAAGGATTGTTCTGTGTAGTGAACTTGAATTTTCATAACTTAAAATCAATTATGTCACTGCAACAAGTGTTACTATCAGATGTAAAAATCATATTTCGTAATATTAAAAATGCTGCAGTGGAGGTAAATATTCAAAATACATTAGGAATATTTTTTGGGTTAGTAGTTACATGTTTCAATAGTCCTCGTCATATGTACATGCTGAATCTGTTTGTCAGCAATCAGATAGAACTGGTTGGATCTCTCAATTGGAGCTACAACTTGGTTTGTACAAAAATTGGCCAAAAAATTGAAGTGAGGTCCTGGAGCTCTGAGTTACAAAAATAAGAATATTGAGCCTAACTGGATCTTCTAAGTCTGCAGGATCTACTTTTTATCCTAGATGGTTAGCCTTAGACAAGCTGTAATAAGAAACTGCAGCAATATCGCAAACAATACAGAAAAATGGGAGATGAGAACTAATGTCATGGGGTTATCCTTAATGGCCATTAGCAGCATAATACGATCAGAAGGTCTGGAGATTCAACGGTTGATCTTAAGAACTTAAGATCAATGACCAATCTAGTAATAAGTCTTAATAATCTAGGATAGCATTTTGTTATTTCAATCAAAATATTGTGATTGTCACTGATGCACACATAGTATTTTAAACCCATTATAATATATACACTTGTCATTTTTTGTTGCTAAGCCATTCGAAAACTCAGCCGGCTAATCCAGAACTGCTGGTCTAGCCATGCATTGCAGTTCACTACGTACTAATTTAGTAACACTTAAAGTCAGATCACATTTTTCTAGTTCTCGCAAAGGCAGTGTGTAGGAATCAGCACGCTAGTCTAGTTTAGTAGTCATGAAAGTAAATTGGTCAAGTGGTATTTGGTTACATTATTCGACCATGCCTAAGCATTCATCAAAGACAAACTAATAATAAGTTACAGGAGAATCAAATGGACCTCAATCCATAGTTGCAAGTCAATTAAATTCATAGCTCATGGAAATCATTCAAAATATAGTGGCCTACTAATAAATTTCAGATCATCTGATATCGGCAACAATTTACTTCATAGCTAAAGGAAAGCAAACCGTTTTCTTTTCATTTTTACCTGAATTTCAGATTCACTTGAAACGAGAACCTTTTCTGCATAAGAGTAGCGCTCATACCGTTCAAGAATTTTGTCCATACTGCATAAGAGAAAGAAATATCTAGTCATTGGAAGTACATGTAAACAAGATTAACTATGTCCAGTATATGCACAATCTCAAGAATTGATATATGATAAATTTTGACAAATCGGAAGCTTTTCTGTAATACATCGTTTCATGTCGGCGTATGCAAATGAGATTCAAATATGGTATACAGCATCTGGTCAAATAGTTTGCAAAGCATTTCACTGTGACCATAATGTAAATGATAGGTAAGGTACAACAAAGCTAGAAAGAGCACGAAACTGACTTCAATAAGGTTCTGGTGTTGTTCAAGTTTTGTTGGGAAAATAGAGTGACCCTTTTCTTCTGTCTATAGACTCAACGAAATGTGCAAAACAGAAGTTTAGGATGGGATTGTGCTAGGCAAGGTAAGTATAATTCTGCTCAGATTCAAATTATGTAACTATAGCGCTAGAGCTTCAGTTTAAGAAACGGTCCTTGCTGTTGTATTTAAGTCATTAACTTTTTACCCCTCGTGTTATTCTCCTCCTATACCTTCTCCCTGTCTTCCCGTAGGCTTCACCCAGCATCCTAACTATTTGTGGAGGTCAACGTGTTCTCTTTCACCACAAACATCGTGTCCTCAATTGTCACACAAGTACCCACAACACACGGAAAACCGTCAGACGCTACCCTATAACCTATAGTAGGCATTTTTTAAGCAACATGGAATGAATCAACAATTAGTTATAGTGTTGAACTATGTGCTATCCTATAACCTGCAAATGGTTACAATGGTCATCAAGTCAAAATCAGTTCAAGAATGTGCAACAACTCACCTATTCAATCAACTAGACTCACAAACCGGTAATATATAAGTGTGTGACCAACAATAGTTATCTAGGCAAGAGCCATGCCTAGATAAGTAGGACGATACGAACACGACAACCATTTTAAAACCTAATGTGTGGGCCCATGCAAAGGTATTGTCGGTACAAATATAGGTGGTAGAGCAAATTTTCAGATGAAAGCTTTGAATGCCAAAGCAGATAAATGCCCATGTGAAAAGAAATTATGCACATAGTAAGGTGATCCCAAGGGATCCCAATGGTGAGGCAACCCTAGAAAATAACACACTAAGGTGCATCTCAAAAAGGAACTAGATAAAGACCCGTTTGTCAGGCATTTAACATAGTGGTTTGGCATGGACTCTGCTTCTACCAACACCAATTGTTCAATCATTGGATGGCTAAACGTATATCAAGCATGGTGAGCTAAAGTTGCATATCGAGGTGTGTAAGAGCAACTCTAGCAGAGTCACCACGTTGATGCGCTCCATATGGATATGGAGGATGCCTATCCAAAGCGCAAACAGAGAGTCGTGCCCTACGAGTAGGACCCACCTGTCATTGGGTCACATGTTCTTCTCCAAAAAATATCCAACAAACACATTGAACTGGTTCAGAAGCATCGATTTCATTCCTAAACAGGGGCAGAACACTAGTCACATGTGAATTACATTCATAGAACACCTAATAATTAGTTAAACTAGTTGCGGCCACGACCACTGCCACCACCTACGTAAAATGCAACAATGTTGGCCACTATGACTTGGAAATGCGCCTCAGCGACGTTGTCCCAGGCCGGCCATTCATCCGCGGCGGCGGGAGTGTGCTAGTGCCCAAATCTGCTGCTCCATTTGCGCTTCCATCTGCGCGGCCTCCTCCAGGACTAGGTCCATCTGGTCCCTAAAGGGGGGAAAAGGATCCGCGGGCTACTCCACCTCATGCCAAAAATTGAAGATGAGAGAGAGAGCTCCCCCGGATGCGCCATGAACAACAAAGGGGGTGGTGGATTGGAGGCATGTGAAAAAAAAAGGGCAGCCCGGTGCATGTAGCTCCCGCTTGCGCAGGGTCGGGGAAGGGTCCGACCACTTTGGGTCTATAGTACGCAGCCTTTCCCTACATTTCTGTAAGAGGCTGTTTCCAGGACTTGAACCCGTGACCTCATGGTCACAAGGCAGCAGCTTTACCACTGCGCCAAGGCTCCCCTTCGATTGGAGGCATGTGAGATTGGAATAAAAGGCGTCGAACATAGGATTGAAGCGAGAGAGCAGAGGGTACCGGCCTTTTACAGGCCGCCCCAGACACCACTAGGGAGGCACTTGGGGAGGCGGGAGGCAGCTAATGTGGGGTAGTCAAAGGGCGCGTCTAAAGGGGCAGCCCCGGTGCATGTAACTCCCGCTTGCGCAGGGTCCGGGGAAGGGTCTGACCACTTTGGATCTATTGTACGCAGCCTTTCCCTACATTTCTACAAGAGGCTGTTTTCAGGACTTAAACCCGTGACCTCTTGGTCACAAGGCAGCAGCTTTACCACTGCGCCAAGGCTCCTCTTAGTCAAAGGGCGCGTCTCCCTGTGAGAAATGTTGCAACGACCTACTCGCATGCCTTCAATTTGCTCACACGCAAGCAAGGAGATGGTGCCGCATGGCAGCCATCCGATGGACCGCCATAAGAATCTGAGGACGCAGGCATGGCATTAATGGTCAGGTGCCAGCTGGTGGTCTGTGTGAGGCCGAGCTGCTTCAAATCCGATGAGAGGCGGGAGAAGGAAGCTTAAAACTTCCGCCCCACGTTGGCAGTTGGTTTTGGGGCAAGCTCCATACTAGACCTCCCGAACCTCCAAATATGGAGGCCACGAGATCGTGTATGGAGCGAGCTAAAAGAAATATGGTGACGGGAGCCATGAAGACTCTCTCTGCTAGAGTTGCTTTAATACCTAGTTGTTGCATCATCATACGACGGGAAAACTGATGTGCCATGGAGCAAGGACACCAATTTGTACAATGTACAACTTCAGGAAAAACTTGGCATTCAATTTTGCCTTCCCAGAAAAAACATGCACATGGTAAATTGCTAAGACCAAGGCAAGAGATACAACAACAACAAAGCATTTAGTCCCAAATAAGTTTGGTTGGGTAGAGCTGAAACCCGTAAAATCTCGAAACCAACTTATGGTTTTGGCGCGTGGATAGCTAACTTCCATGCACCCCTGTCCATAACTAGTTCTTTGTGATACTTCAGTCTTCCGATCTTTCTTTAGGGACTCCTCCCATGTGAAATTTGGTCTACCCCAACCTCTGTTACATTATTAGCATGTTTTAACCGTCCGCTATGCACGAAAGTTTCTAGAGGCCTACTTTGTATATATCCAAGCCATCTCAGATGTTCGACAAGCTTCCCTTCAATCGGTGCTACCCCAACTCTACATGTATATCATCATTTCAAACTCTATCCTTTCTTGGGTGGCCACACATCCATCTCAAGATGCGCCATACATTGTGAGTCACCGTCCTATCGAACCTGTCTTTTAGCCTTTGTGGCACTATCTTGTCACAGAGAACACCAAAAACTTGGCGTCACTTCCTCCATCCGACTTTGATTTGAAGAGGTACAACCTACCCATTGAGGCTAACCACCTCCTCGTGCCTAGTAGTACTGAAACTGCACCTCACGTACTCAATTTTAGTTAAGCCTAAAGACTTTGATTCCGAAGTTTCTCTCCATAGGTCTAACTTTCCATTAAGTCCCGTGCAACTATCATTGACTAGCACCACATCAATCGTAAAGAGAATATACCGTGGAATATCTCCTTGTTACCTCATCCATCATCAAGGCAAAAAGATAAGGGCTCAAAGCTGACCCATGGTGCAGTCCTATTTTATGGCAAAGTCATCAGTGTCGCCATCACTTGTTCGAACACCTGTCATGGGATTATCATACATGTCCTTAATGAGGGTAATGTACTTTGTGGGACTTTGTGTTTCTCCAAGGCCCACCACATGACATTATTCAGTATCTTATCGCATGCCTTTTCCTAGTCAATGGACATCATATGCATGTCCCTTTTTTGTTCCCTGTATTTCTCCACAAGTTGTCGTACCAATAAAATGCCTTCCATGATCAACCTCTTAGGCATGAAATCAAACTGATTTTTGGTCACACATGTCATTCCTCTTAAGTGGTGCTCAATGACTCCCATAACATCATTCTTTGTAAAGCCTCCTTAATCTCAGACTCCTAGATTCATCGCACACAATGTCTGCGGGCATCATCAAAGGAGTCGTAGAGCTCAATGCTAGAGCTCTCATTCTCTCTGTTGAATAGCTTGTCGGAGTACTCCCGCCATCTATGCTTGATCTCCTTGTCCTTCACTATGAGTTGATCTGCTCTATCCTTGATGCATTTGACTTGTTTGACATCCCTCGTCTTCTTCCCTCGGATCTTGGCCGTCTCATAGATGTCCCTTGCACCTTCCTTCCCGGCCCCTTAGCGTTGGTAGAGGTCTTCATATGCCCGACCCCTTGATTCACTCACTGCTCGCGTTGCGGTCTTCTTTGCCACCTTGTACTTCTCTATGTTGTTTGCACTCCTACGCAGGTGTAGGCAATGTTTTAAAGGCGGTAAGGCGAGGCAAGGTGCTGGGGGAGGGGGGGTGCCTCACTACCTAAGCACTAATGCATAGGCAAGGCGGCGCCTTACAGAGTTCTAAGAAGTAGAACTGAGCATAATCTGGTAGGCATTTGCAGGAGAGGTGATGGTTGCTTGTTGCTGCCTACTGTCCTGGAGAGGAGAAACCGCAGGAGAGGAGGATCTGCCGGAGAGGAGGGGGAGAAGCTCAGATCCAGCCACCAGAGGTGGGGGTGGGGAAAACTGAAACTGGTTAGAGCTCTCTCTCCCCCTGCTAGTAACTGTTGGCGCCCAGACTCGGTTTCCCGCCCTTTTCTTCCCGCCCAAAGCTCTTTTTCCCGCCTGAACTCCCAACCTATCTAAGGCGTCTTCATTTGCCTAAGGCGGGAAGAATGGCGCCTAGGCGGACGCCCTATGGACTAAGGCGGACACCTTTAGGCATGTGCGTAAGGCAAGGCCGACGCCTTGTGACCTGGGGCGCCCTGACGCCTAGGCGACGCCTTGTGACCTGGGGCGCCCTGACGCCTAGGCGACGCCTTAAAAACAATGGGTGTAGGCATCTGAAAC